TTCCAAACCACACCCTCTTTCACATGGATTGAAGACTCTTCATGTTTCCCTTGGTCACGGCAGAAAGATGAAGCCAGAGAAAATCCATTTATATGGTGTAGTTATAGTTGTTCTTTAGATTTCCAGTGCTCAGTTAAACAGACATATATATTATGTAGATCTTCGCACTGCAGGAAGAACTCTAGTTTTTCAATGCTTGTTGATATACATTGCATATTTTGATGAAGTAAGCCAAAACTTTTTTGATTGAAAGTTGAAGCATTTTTACCAACTGTGTTACCAACTGGTTAACCAAAATTAGGAGAATTGAATACTTCTAACTTATCCAATTTAAAACCAGTTTTCTAACACTTATAAGACCAATTTAAATATTGCCGAAAAAAAGAAAGATTTACGAAAAAAAAAATTATACCGTTGGTAAATCTGAATTCTCTTTTAATTTTTTTATGAGAAAAATTAGATCTTTTTGTTCTTGGCACCTTTTTTCTAAATGATATAGTTTACTTACAGCGTCAAGTTTCTTTTTAATGGTAATGGTCCTGTCTGATAATGTGTCACAGTGAGAATAGGTTATGTTCTATCTACCAAATCATAAGATTTATTGTCGCTCTTGCTGTTTATTATAAATTGATCAATTATATTTATATAGGCAATCACTTGTGGATTTGCAACATTCACTGGTACTTTTAACGTCAGAATTATGTGGATTAGTTTATTTTTCTTTAATTTATTTAACTCAGTCGTTAACATGGTTGTATCAATCTTCTTGACACTCTCAGTGTCTATCTACTCCGCTATATAGGAATATAAATTTGTTTCTATTGGCCCTTCCTTTCCCCTTTCTTTTTTGTTTCGTTCAGGGCACATATATCAATTTTATGAATCTCCAATTCCTGCATAACTTTCTGCTCCCGTTTGTTCTACGATGCGACCTTCGAAGTGCCAATTCGTAGATTATTTGGTCTCTTTGTCCTTTTTCTTGCGTGGCTCGTCGTCTATGTATCCGTGTAGAGAATGCTAACTGAAAACAGCATCTTATATTGCGCTTCACTGCGCCTTTGCCGTTAAATAGAAATTTGAAAATACTATGAAATTGTAAAGATAATAATAAAAACAGCAATTAGAAATTTGTTGATTAATATAAAGTACCGCATTTTTAATTTTTCATAAATTCTTCTTATTAAATCTTCCTCTTTCACTTTGTAATCTCTTGGTGTAGTGTTATGCAGGGTTCGCTCTTGTTTTAATTTTTGATAGAAGTTCTTGATTTGTTTATTTTTAAAAACTTCTGCAGTATAGCTAAATTTTGCTCTAATAACAATCTTCGTTTTATTCTACATATCTTTGTTCCCACTTTTTATATTATTTTTCCTTGTGCTCCTTATTCTGACTTTATTTTTCTCATCAACTACTCTTTTACAACCTTTAGTATACCAGTCCGTGTCTGCGTTTGTCTATTCCTTGGTAATATTTGTCGTAATACTTGTCCTTGTTGTAATTTTTCTTTTAGTTGTTTATATCTGCTTTCTGTAACTACCGCCATTGGTGGTAGTTTCATATTTATATTCAATTTATTTACCATACAGTTAGTAGCATTTTTAATTTCTTCGTTATGCTTTAAATCATATTTTTCATATTTTGAATTTTGTTTTCCAGGAAATTTATTTCTATCTTGACTTCTAAATTTTCTTTGCTTAAATTATATATTTCATCTTAAAAATTCTTTTGGTTTTTTCAGATTGCCTTAACTTTACTCATAATTTCTATTTATTGCCATTTCTTTCTATTCTTGATTAGACCACCCTTTCTTAATTGGGGATCTAAATTACTTTTTTCTGACTATGTATTGCTTTAATGAATGATCACTAATTGTTCTTTTACTGCTAAGGTCTCAACAATTTGTACCGTTTCATTCTAAAAGCCGCTTAAACCGCTCGAAGCTCGTAGTATAAGCTATTTTATACTTAAATGTATGGGTTAATTTTATATATTTTTGAAAAATTTCCAATTATATTCTTAATTTATCACATACGTTAACTTTGCACTCTTAATAATCAAAATTCAAATATACAAACAAAATATATAAATATTTTAAGAAATACGCTTGAAATAAAAGATTCTGCCCATAATCTCCAATTATTACACGACAATCTGTTGTGAATCTTGGACTGCTCACAAAGAAGTCGTCACTCCTGTCGAGTCCTGGCAACTTCCCTCCATCTTCTAACCCTTAGAATCTGAAGGTCTTCTTCTACATCATCAATCCATCTTCTTCGTGGTCGTCCTCTCCTTCTTGTGTCCTCTGGTTTTGAAAATGTTAATTTCTTCGTGTATTAATGATCTGCCATCCTAGAAATGTGTTCAGCACATCTAAGTCTCTGCACTTGAACGAATTTTACAATATCTGGATCTGTGTTTAACTGATATAGTTCAAAGTTGTTTCTTCGACGCCATAGCCCATTTTCATATACGACCCCAGAAATCTTTCTAAAATCTTTTTTCTCAAAAACACCAAGAAGTCTTTTATCATTTTGAGATAAGGTCCACGTGTTAGCCCCATATATCAAAACCGGTTTTATTAAGGTCTTGTATATATTGAGTTATACTGATCGTTTTATATTTTTAGTTTTTAAATGTTTCTGGAGACCGTGAACAGTTCTATTTGCTATTGCTATGCGTCTTTTTGTCGTGTTTGTTGCGTTTATCCAAGATATGTGAATTCTTTGACTTGCTCAAAGGTATGGTTGTTAATTCTTTGTTAATAATGAAATCTTGTTGAATATTTCGGGGGTTTTTAGAAACCAACATATATTTGGTTTTTTTTCTCGTTTACCACAAGTCCTAATTCACTTGCCGCGTCTGCAAGCCTTGTAAAACACTAAACTATGTCTCTCATACTTGCGCCGGTCTCTTAAAAATAGTTCCATTCATTCCAATATTTAAATGTCTGATTGACTTTTCCAAGACAATATAAAAGAGGAGACACGTCAGCACGTTCTCCAGTCTTAGAGCATTATTAATGTCAAAGAACGTAGAGTTTTTACTTTCAATTTTAACGCATGAGCATACGTTTTGCATTGTAAGTTGGTTCAACTTAACTAACTTAGATGGGATCCCAAAGTCTATAATTGCATTATATAGTGTAGTTCTTTTCACACTGTCATAGGCTGCTCTGAAGTCGACGAAGAGATGGTGTGTATCTATGTTATGTTATATTCTAGTGACTTTTCTAGAATCTGCCTATGTGCCAGAATTTAATGTATAGTTGACTTTCCAGCAATAAATCCGCATTGATATTGACCAACAATATCCTTTGTAAAATATTAAAGTCTTTCAAACAATACATTACCGAAGATTTTATACGCAGATGCTAACAGAGTAATGCCTCTATACTTCTTACACTCCAGTTGATCCCCCTATTTATGCAACGGACATATTATTCCCTTTAGCCACTCTTCTAGTACCAATTCATTCTGCAATATAAGTAACATCAGTTTATGGATTTCAACATTTCCGAACAAATTTCATCGATTCCTAGTTATTGTCTTTGAGTTTTAGGATGACATTTGACACTTCTCTTGTTGGGTCTTGAGAGACCCAACATGTAGTTGGCGTTGTAGATTTTGTTTCATTTTTATTTCATCCATACTTCAAAGATATATCGCTAATCTCTCAAAGAAACACCTCTGTCTGTCAATGACAAATAATGTAAAAATCCATTCTATTGTATTCGGATTTTTTACAGGAAAAGGCAGGAAAATTAAGAAAACTTAAATCGAATTGTAAATTGGGTCTAAATATGTAATAGTCTACTATCTTACAGGAGATTTTTAATGGGTCATTTGACACAGCATGAATTATATATAAAACAATACTACAGTATGTAACAGTAACTTTGCAAACCATGCCTTTCATTACAATCGGTACATGTATCACAGTTAAGTGTACACCTACATTGGAACCGTATTTCTCCCGATCCGATATAGGGCGACGTCGCCCGACGTCGGATTGAAAACAAACTCAAGGTATTAAATGATAGTGCACTCTGATTTAATACCTTGAGTTTGTTTTTAATTCGACGTCGGCCGACGTCGCTAGACATCGGATCGGGAGAAATACGGTTCCAATGTAGGTGTACACTAAGATAAACTTACCAGACGGCAAGGGGGAGTGGGTAAGTTTTTGGCCAAAAATTTTTGTACGGCATTTATAACTTGGAAAGGTAATACAAAAATAATGACTTGCAACCTAATGCCGTACAAAAATATTGGTATTAGGAGCAGGGAAATTTTTTTATTTTCGGAAAACTTTTTTACAATTTTCGTTAATTTGACACAGTACGGCACTCATACAAAAGTTTTGAATTGGTATGTGTATATTAATTTTTATGCTACACCGTACATTTTGACTGGGAGAGGGATTAGAAATCTAAGGCGCAACTCTTAATTTGAACTACTATGCTTTGTGTAACCATAAGAATTGGCGGCATAATTTCTAAAGTTGTTACATATTGTAATATTGATTTATATGCGATTCATGCTGTGAAACTTACTAAACCATTTTGTCCAATTTGCAAGCGTTTTGTATCCATAATTGGAGTTTATACCTCAATACCTTATAAAATTTAGTGAAAAAGTTCTATTATGCTATCATACGATTAGAAAATTTTTAACTACTGATTCATAAGTCATATTTTTGACTTTTTTTTCCACAAGTCATAAGTTTTTTGAAATAATAACGATGCGATCAGAAACTAAATTAGAATTTTATTAATCCATTAAACGGGTTTAGGTTTTAGAAATGCGGAAAAATATATTATGAATTATGAAAACGCATTATACAAAATAAACACAACAAAAAAGTACGTTTTAACACAATGCCCAACTGACTTTCTAGACTTATATTCAGTAGTGACTGAGAGAACATATAATGATAGTACTAAAAATGTATCTATAGGTCACTTTATTAATTTCTTTATTAAAATATTAAGTCTTACTTACATAGTCTTGATTGCTAATTGTATATCAGGCCTATCCATCTGTCTGTCATCGTATATCTCAGGACCATGCCACTTGAGGTAATAGTAATTTACAATTGTTGTTTTGGTGAGTTCTACGTCGTTTTCACATGATAATAAAAATATAATTATCATTTCGTCCTGTATCCTCAAAGGGACATATTTGTCTTTTAAATTTGATACAAAGGTTCGTATTTCCTCAACATTTTCTAAAAGAAAAATTTAATACTACATAGTAAAAAAAAAATAAGTAAAAATATTTTTATTCCTTATATATTCGTACACATATATACCACACATATGAAAAATCCATTAGATCTACAAACTATAATATCTACTTTGTAAAAATTTTAATTTAATTTTAATTTCAACTCTAGTATTAGTTAATTTTAATGGTAAAGTAGAAAAATGCAGAGTCAAAAATGGTGTTAGTGAATACGCAACAACGTGTAATACATTAATACAATTCTGTGAAGAAGAAAATTATGTCGTAAAATAGTCAAAAAAGAAAAGTCAGTGCTTCAATTGAAGTACATATAGTCCAGTCGTCCGAAAGTTGACCCCTAAAAAGCATACGAACAAGCTGAATGTTTCAGAGAAGATTAATTTTGGGACCCCAAAAAGATACAAAAAAGGGTTAAAAGTTACCACTTTTAACCCCGGGCTTCCCAATGAAACCCCCCTCGCAGGAGGGTACAACCTAAAAAAATAGATTTTTCAAGAATCTGTACATCATAAAAAAAATGTTTCCAATAAAGAATATAGCTGAGATAATTTCGAACAAAAATGTTTATAACTAAGCATTTTTTGTGTCGACTAAACCGTTCTCTTAGAAACAACGTTTAAAGCGACCGTCGATTTTGCATGTCACTTACGCGCGCGAAATCAATGTTCAATAAAATTTGTATCAGCTAGACGGTAAAAATCAGATAACTTTTAATTTAAGTAACCAATCGACAAAAATCAAGATATGTTTTAAAGTAAAGGGTTCAGTCCGTAAAATAGTTTTGAAACACTTCATTTTAAAGGGTTCAGCTTTCGTATGCAGTTTTTGTATTTTACCGCGAATATACTCAGATGTTATACAGGTGCAAATAAATAAACGTGGCACGATTTTTGCCATTTTTTAAGATTTTCGAGAGATCGATAAAATTGATTACTTTCATTGACCAATGGTAGTAAAATTTTTATTTTTAGAGATCAATCTTTAAAAATCTTTAACATGAAATTTCAATTTTGAGTTTTGGCAACAAAAATATGAGGCATTTGAAACATGAACCAAAAACGCAGAATTTAATGTTTTACATTACAAACGATCACATGTCACGAGAAATGCATTTGAGAAAACTGTTTTGAGTGTAGTGTATTGCAGAAGTTTTGTTCTTCTGAAAAACTTACTAATGTAATTGAAAAAATAGTTTTAAATGTTTTAGATCGTTTGTTGTGTGCAAGTTTAAATCCAGCGTTTTTTAAGCATATTTCAAATGCCTCATATTTGTTGCCAAAAGTTAAAACTAAAATTTCATGCTACAAGTTTTTAAAGGAAGGCTCTAGTAATCGAAACTTTATAGTGCCTAGTCAATGAAAGGGGTAGATTGTATTGATTTCATAAGAATAATAAAAAATGGCAAAAATCGAGCCACGTTTATTTATATAACACCTGTATAAAATCTGAGTTTATTTGTGGCAAAACACAAAAACTGCATACGAAAGCTGAATTCTTTACCTTTAAATCGCATCTTGATTTTTGTCGATAGGTGATTTGATTCAAAAGATATCGAATTTTTACCGTCGAGTTGATACAAATTTTATTGAACATTGATTTCGCATGCGTAACTGACATGCAAAATCGACGATCGCTTCAAGCGTTTTTTCTAAGAGAATGGTTTATTCTACACAAAAAATACTTATTACCATTTTTGTTTAAAATTATCTCAGCTACATTTTTTATTTAAAACATTTTTTTCTACGGTTTACAGATTCTTAGTAAATCGTTTTTTTTGCGTTTTGACACCTCTGCGGGGGTGGGTGTTTTAGGGGTAAGCCCGGGGGTAAAAGTAAACTTTTTGCATATTTTTTGGGGTCCTAAAACTATTATGCTTAGCAGAATTTAGTTTGTTCGTATGATTTTTAGAGGTTTAGTGGCATTTTCGTCTATGACGACTGGAGTAATACAGAGATATTCAAATTAGTCAACGAAGAAAACATCCATACTAACGAGACTGCAAAAGAAAATTATTTATTATCAAATATATAGAAAATAGAAATGGACTTAATGGATAACGGATAACTGAGTTTTCGAGAAGTAACGAGAACTAAAGTAGCGATATTTGGGTTATCTGTTCTATTAAAAAAAATTAAGAGATCAATAAAAAGACGTAAATATTTGTTTCATTGATTATGAGAAGGATTTCGATACACTAGAATCTCTCTCTTCACTCCTAACCCATCGAAGAGAGCGTAGTAGTCACCGTAATGTCATGTATTATTCGTCTTTAAAGATCTCTGTCTCTGGTCATTACTTTTAGATCTGGTCATGCATAGATCTTTTACATATTCCTGTAATTTATTCGATCCATCTCGTTGGCGATCTTCCCCGTGATCTTCGACCCTCTACCGTTGTTTGGATAATAAATATTTCTTTATTTTCTGTTTCTGCTCTCATAACATGTCCATAACAAAAGTATTTTGTTGTTGCTGTAACCAGTAACTCAACATGAATTTACGATTATGTTTCGTTTTCTTCTATGTTTACAGTGTTCTATTATATGGCTACATCACTATCACCGGAAGTAGAAGTTGCTATAACTAGCATTAAGGAGGCAAAAGCCGCAGAGATAGACGACTACTACGTAGAATTTATGACAATTATTGACAAAGACGCAGTAAAAGACTTACTTTGATCTTCAATGATAATACCAAAGTGGAAAAATACCTAACAGTGGCTTAGATCAACTTTTAATAATAATACCTAAAGACCCAATACGACAAAAATTGAAGATTATTGAATAATAAGCCTTATGGGCCACCTCCTGAAAACGTTTTTAAAAATCATACAAGAATATATAAAAAGTGTGAAGAACACATGACAAATACACAATTCGGCTTCAGGGATGGATTGGTTATTCAAAATACACTTACAACTTTCAACAATGTATAGATATGAATTGCGCTATGTATGTGTATTTTGTTGATTATTAGAAATTGTCTAATGTGCAGAGACTGCAATATAATAAACAATATCTATTACAAACAAACTGTATTATTATTCAATATATATTCAGAGCATATTATGAAGCTAGCGCTAACTGATATAAACGGGGAATACTTATAAACAAAGAACGACTGGACTGAATAACATAAGATACACTGATAACACTGTCATTTTTGCATACAGTCTGGAAGATGCTTGTCTTTAGGGTAAGCAACCAAGTTTGGGCTTGATTTTAACATAAAAAAAAACAAACTACATGGTTATGAGCAAAATAGGATAACACTGGTACAATTAATACTAAAAAAAACCTTTATCACAAATCACCAAATTTTGTCATTTGGGTCTAACCTAAAGGGACCTTCACTGAATTAATACTGAAAAGACTCGAAGCCTTATATAGACGCTATAGACGAATGGTGACGATTTTCCGGATAAACAAAGTTACCAATGAAGAAGTTCTACACAGAATAACGCTACGACCTACTTAGGTCATACTTCAAAGTAAGGTGCATGAAAAAGGGGGTTCAGGAAGAAAAAGAATATCCTGGCTTCATAACCTACAAAAATAATTTAATTTCACCACCCCCGAACCTTTTTAGGGCAGCAGTTAACACAGTCAAAATAGCCATGTTAGTCTTTAATATCCGTAACGGATAAGTACCATAAGAAGATTATATGGATTTCTTTGTTCCCTATTCTGTATCCAATACCTTTACGTATTGCTTTTATTATTTCGTAAATTATTATAATAAAGAGAAATGGGCTTAACGAGTCACAATGGAAGTAGATGTTTTCGACGGTTTGTATTTTATTGATTGGTATGTTTCTTTTATACAGTAGGTGTACGACGTCTTTGACTTGGATGCGATCGTAAGCCTTTGTCAGATCTATAAAACATAAATATGCTGGGTTATTTTACTCGATGGCCTTTTCTGTGATTTGTCTAATACAAATACAGCGTCTACACAGGATCTTCCGGATCTGAATCCTTGTTGTTTTTCTGATAAAGCTGTTAGTTTATCGATTTTGTTGGTTAGAACTTTTGTGGTAAGCTTAAGTGCGGTGTTCAGTATATTAATACCTTTTTGGGGTATTTATACCCATTGTTGGGGTCTTCTTTATCTCCTTTCTTGAACATCGGTATCATTATGCTGTATCTTGCAGTGCAATATTAGATTTTGTATAAGTTTTGTCATCTTTAGGGTTACACTTTCTCCTCCGTGTTTTAGAAGCTCGTTGGTTATTCCATCTAGTATCGATGACTTTCTCCTTTTAAGTGAATTTATGACTATTTCTACTTCCTGAAAACTGAGTTCTATTACGTATCTTAATTCAGGTACGTTATTGTGTTGATTATTATGTTCCTTTCCTTTAAACAGTTCCGTCAGGTATCTTTCCCATTCGGTTGATAGTATGATATTGTAATCCTTCAATTCTGCCATTTCTTTCCGTTGGTTTCTTATGAATTTCCATATTTGTTTTTGTGTACCATAGAAGTTGCTCCATCCTTGTTGTAAATTATTCCCAGTGTTCATTTTTTGTTCTTATTACCAACTGCTTTGTTTCATTTCGTACTCTTCTATAGGTATCTCAGGATTCTGGGGTATTTGATGTTTTGTACTTCGCGTAAGCCTCTCGTTTATCTTTCCTTTTCTCTTTTACTTCTTTTCTGAATCGTGATGTATTGTTGTTGTTTCTTTTGTTTGGTATGACTTTGTGTTTTCCTAGAGCTTCTGCTCCTGCTTCTTTAATGTTGGTTTTAATTTTCTCCCAGCTCGCGTTTGTATTTTTAAAGTCGTATATTTGTTTCAGAGGTATCTTCTCTGCTAGCCTTTTTTGGTACATTTCGGTGAATTCTTGTAGAACATTTTTTATTGTTATTTTCATTCTTATCTTTGCTAGTACTAGTTTGTGTTCACTCCCTGCGTCTGCGAAGTTATAATCTTAAAAATAGTAATGAACGATCATCCACTACAACAAATGAGTAATTTCAATTATGTGGAATATTAAACAAGCTAAGGAACAGAGACATTGATCAGAAAATTGACATGTTTCAGTATATATTGGAAACAATTTACCAAACATTTAGAGACAACACAAGAAAATATATAAAAAAAATTGTAGAGTAGTTAATTAAAACAATGTTTGTCAATCGAGATCTTCCTCTGGATCGGAGGATAAGAGCCTTAAGATGCTACGTGTTCTCGACTTTGTTGTATGGAATGGAAAGCTGGACACTAAAAGTGGATAATATAAAGAAGTTGGAATTATTTGAAATGTGGTGCTATAGAAGGATTTTGAAAATATCATGGACCCAACGAGTTACAAATGCAGAAGTGTTAAGAAGCCTACAAAACAATTGCGAGGTCATAAAGCACATTAAAATAAGAAGGCTGAAATATTTAGGCCACATTACCAGAGGTGCGAAACATGAGATATTAAGGCTCATAATGCAAGGTAAAATCAAGGGTAAACGATCCATAGAAATACGAAGAATTTTCTGGCTGAGAAACCTAAGAGAGTGGTATAGTTGCAGCTCAGTAGATCTTTTTAGAGCAGCCGCTAATAAGGTACGGATAGCTGTGATGATAGCTCCTCCGAACTACAAGAAGAAGAAGTAGAGTAGGTAATGGCAACACTTACTATATTATAAGGTTATGAAAGCTACGTAATGATGCAAAGAGCTAACTCTGGATTCCAAGCTAGCAAAATGAGACTTAGAGAAGCGAAAGGTATTACAAGACAGGATACATGAAAATCTGGTTAACTAAACAAATTTTATTATATTGAGTCGTATCAAATTTATCAAACATATTATATACAAGGAATTATTAAAATCATCACTGATTGACAAACGATATACTTTTTATTATTAATATTTTGTAAACTAATACTTCCAGTAAAAATCATATTATTGGTTTTGCTATTATTAAGAAAATTATATCGCATCTAAAAGTATAGAGATATATCGTACCTTATAAAGATATATTCTGTGTACGTGGCAAGATGACAAAAAACTAAATCGAGATGAATATGTACAGTAAATAGTAAAAGATAGATATACTTAAACACTGGAGGAAATAACGAACAAAAAGTCTCTTGACTTGGGTACAAATATAGTATGAATACAAGTTATAAAATCAGAAAAGATATTCACTAGAGATCTCCATAAAAACGAAAGATGGGTACAATCTAGAGATTTCATTGTGGTATGGAAAAGGAAAATATAAAATATGTTAGCCCTATATAGTAATGTTCTTTTTTCTTACCTTTAGATACTCTTCCTTCTGCTATTAAATCTTCTGCCTTAAACTGATATGGCAAATCAGTGTCTGCTGTAACTTCCTCCATATTAATTTTAACAGTTTCAGATTGGTTTTTCTTAATTTTTATAGTTGTTGTATGGAAGTTAGGTAGATGTTTTTGTACAGGAGTATACTCGCCGTTTCTTCTTAAAGGATTTCCAAGCAACGTAAAGAATACTAAAACAAATACGCATGCGAGAAGTATTTGTACAATATAGGGTTGGATACAAGCAAATATCGATGATTTAATCCGGTAAACCATTATTCTAAAATATATCGAATATCGAAACTCTGGTGAATTCTTACAGGTGCTAGAGTTGTATTTATTTCTGTTGGATCTGTACATCGTCTTAACATGTCATTGATATTTTCTTAAACATGTTAAATTTAAATTTTGTAACGCAATATTTACGAAAATGTATTATAGTCTGCAGGATCACTACGTTCATAATGTAGTTAATCAAACTCACAATTTACAACTTACGTAATTTTTTTTGGAGGCCTTTATGTAATAAAAACTAAACGGCGAAACAAATACAGATTCAGACTAATTAGATGTATTATGGGTGCAAACGTCCTCTTTGCTTATTAAAATCAAAAAACTGTTGTTTTAAAAAAAGTTTTAACATTCTAAATAAATTATTACTTGCATGTGGGGTTGTACCTTTTTCGTACCACTACTGTACTTTCTGTAATATAAACCGATTAACTAAAGATGTATTTTTGGTACTTTTCACAACCCTGTATATATAATCTTCTAAAGATATTTTCTTTAACCTATTAATAATCCAATTGAAATAAAACCGAACTGAAATGAACAACCCAAAATCTGGCAGAGGCCCTGAGTCATGAACTCCATATCGAGCTGATTAAACTTATAGACGAAGACAATTTAAGTGCAATAACTATACTCTTTAACAACATATACAAATCTGATAAGATACCTACAGAATGGCTGCTATCGAGTTTTTTTCCGCTACCTAAAACCAAGAACCCCAAACACTGCAATGACTATAGATTAATTAGCTTAAAGCATTTTTAAAGATTATACATGCAAGAATATTCAGAAAGTGCGAAGCGGATATGAGTGATAGACAGTTTGACTTTCGTAACGGCTTCATAACAGTGGAAGCTCTGTATGGTTTCTCAACTTTTGCCCAAAAATGTCAAGACCAACAAAAAGATCTTTTTGTTGAGTTTATAGACTATGAGAAAGCTTTCGACAAAGTAACAATCTCATGGAATGTCTAGATAAAAAAGGACTTGACAAAAATGACCTTAACATACATGTGGGGTAACAGATAAGTAGAGGAGTGAGACAGGGCTATGTCTCTTGAAAACTGTACAAAAGGGATCAAGATAAATAGTGAAAATATAAATAACATCCGTTATGCTGACGATACAGTCATTATCGCTGAAAGTGAAACAGACCTACAAACGTTACTAAACACAATTTGTGATTCTGGGGAACAATGTGGTTTAACAATAAACATAAAGAAAATAAAAACCATGATTATCAGTAAGATAGGCAAAGTCTTTACAAGGATCCAGATAAAAAATGAAGATATTAAGCAAGTGAAAAAAGCAAAATGAAATACTTAGGAGTCTGGATAACGGAAGATCTAAATCCAAAATCAGAAATTCGCTCAAGAACAGAGCAATCAAGAGCAGCCTTTTTTAAGATGAAGAAATTTCTGAGTAACCAAAGACTCAATCTGCAAATCCGATATCGGATGGTATAATGTTATATCCACTCTATTCTTCCTTATGGTGTCAAAGCCTGAACTGTTAATGTTGACTTCAAGCTTTTGAGATGTGGCTTTTTAGGAGAATTTTGAAGATACCATGGACCGATCATATTACGAACGAAATGGTTTTGCACAGAATGGGAAGAGATATAGAACTTTTGACTACCATTAAAAGGCAGAAGACAGCATATTTGGGGCACATACATAGAAATAATAAGTACGAGTTATTGCAGCTGATTATAAAGGGTAAAATCGAAGAAAAACGGGGTTCTGGTAGACGACAAATATCCTGACTGAAAACATTCGCGACTGGACCGGGTTAAAACACAGACGCTCTTAAGAAAAGCAGAAGATACAGACGCAATTGTGACTGTTACAGACACCCTTCATTAGTAGAGACGGCACTAGAAGAAAATGCTATTTTCTATTTGGAAATAAAATTACTGAAATATTACTGAAAAAAATTGATATTTTCTGTTACTGAAATTTTCTTAAATTATTTAATTATTTATTTATTTTTATGAAACGTAACATTTTTGCAAAGTGAAAGAAATAAATAAAAAATAATTAACAATCCGAACAAGAACAGTTAGAGATCTATGAGAAATCAGAATCAAGAACGTAAGATGTAAAAAATAAACAATAAAGTACATATTACAAATTTTTAATTTTTAAATTGCCAAAAAAAAAAGATGCTATATAGTAGTGTATTGACAAAAACCTTTTTCACGAAACTAAATTTTGAAGTATTGTTCTAAAGATATTTTCTTTGGCATTTTTAAGTAATTTTCGTTTATTGACGTTTCAATTTCCACTTCGGAAATCGTTCTGAATTTACTTATGTTTGTATTTTGAGAACGATTTCCGAAGTGGAAATTGAAACGTCAATAAACGTACTTTACCCTTTAATTGTGGCTTATTCCAATTTAAATAGTAATTACTTAAATTTTGAATTATTTTAATTAAAAAATATCACTTAGAAGTCAAAATATGTACCGACCTAATAAAGAAATTATAATTGATAGTTAACTGGATATATTCACTGCACTACACAAACACACCTATCTGTTTATTACAAAGTACTTGTTTAACGATGTTACAGAAACCTAGTGTTCTACCCTATCTTTACTAATAATACTATAGTAATCATTATCTAAAATGCTAAAAATAATATTCTAATAATGTCTAGTTTATATATGTATGTAGAAAGTGACTTATTACTCTTTGGTACAGAAACTTATGCCTTATTTATTCTAATTAGCTGATTGCGTCATTTTAATTTTATAGACTTTACCTAAAGTATATACGATATTTACACACTTATATATGTATACATATATATGTATACATATATATATATATATATATATATATATATATATATATATATATACATAATATAAAATTAATATTTCTTGGGTTTAGGTTCAATAAATTTCCTGCCGAAACGTTGATTGATTGCAATGGAAAATAAAATCTAGTTCCACATGTAACATATCTTTATTGAACCTAAACCCAAAAAATATTAATTTTATATTAAATATAATACGGTTCAAGAAACTCAAAACTACAATATATATATATATACATATATACACACACACACACATATATATATATATATATATATATATATATATATATACATCATTACCCATTATCATCATCATCAGATGTACCTAGAGCTCTTCGTGAGCCTTGCCTTCCACAAAAAATCATTTAATCTTTCCCTGTTTAGCGAATATCTTCTCCTTTTCTTGATATCCAGATATTTGAGCTTAGGTCCCCTCCTTCTCCTTCCGAACGGTTTGTTTAGAATAGTCACAGTTAAGCTCTATTCTTTTTAAGCAATATACTGTGGCATAGTTATTTTAGAAGGGTCACTTTCATTCATTCGCATTACGTAGTCCAACCATCTCAGGCGGTTTATTTTGATTTTTACTATCCAAATAAAGTCCAAAATTCTGTCGCCTTCCCTATAGATCCCGTTCGTTAATTACGCCATATATATTCTTTAACACTTCTTTGATATCCATGTTTCCGAATCGTAATTAAGACCTGGGCTTATTTTTGTTTTATAAAGTTGTCATTTTGATATAATTCTCACGTTAATTTGAGGGTCTGGTATATAGTAGCAGCGTTTAACCACAAGCATTTTCTGTATTTTCTTGGTATATTGTTTGTGACAAGTAGCAGAACTCTTCTTTCGTTTCAATAGTATAACGTTTATCTGAGTTATTTTGTTGAACTCTTGATGTTGCCGGCATGTATTTAGTTTTCTGTGTATAAAGTCATAACCGATATTTTTGTGGCATTTTTTATACGTGATAAGGCTTTAACTACCTTATCTCGGATTCTTGTAATTATCACGTTATTTTCAGCATATGCAATTATTTGTGGTCTTTTGGTGTATATCTTACCGTTTATTCTCTAGTCTCTTATAATAGACTAGAGTTTTTTAACGCCAAGTTAAACAACACACACGATAGCGTGTGTGTTGTTTAACTTGGCGTTATCTTACATGTCCTAGGAGAGCCACTTTCACTTTAGGTTCGACTTTCCTTAATGTCATTTAAATTAATTTAACTTTCTAATACTTTTCCTATTCCAGGTCGATATATATATATATATATATATATATATATATATATATATATATATATATATATATATATATATATTGTTGTGATATTTAAAGTCTTGGTGCGCCAAGCAATAATTAGCTAATTAATTTTTTTTTGATTAATTAAAATTATTTAAATGATATGATTATGACTCTATCACAATTTTTAATTCTTTTATCTCAGGGTTAAATTCGTGCTTCAATATCTATGCTATTACATGTGAAAGGTAAGGTCCAAAGAATACCGGAATAATAAAAAACACATATGATCTAACACTATATATTGAAATAAAAATAATGAAATAATTCACACTCAAAAGTTTTCCGTAAACAAAATCTCATATATTAATTCTCAAAATTTTGTTCTACGTACGTGAACAATCAAAATTAATGGTACAAACAATATTAGTTGAAATCTCAAAATCCAAGTATTACTCTAAATCTCTTAATCAAAATATTTATATCCTTTCTAAATTAAGTGTAAACAATTGTGTTATTAGTGAAAGAAAAACTGCAGAAAACAAAACTATCTCTCTCTGATGATGAGTGGTCCAAATCCTTGTTATTTGTAGACTATACTATTTACTCGTGGCCGCTCCCTAAGTAATCAGCAATCTTACAATAAATTATTGCAAGTATCTCGTCCTTAATGATCTCCTTCAAATGCACAAATCGTTCAAATTATGCTAGCTTCTTCTTCTCTCAATAAACTGAATCTCTCGTTGGCCTGAGTAAAAAATGACTCTTGGAATATCTTTTCTTTACGATAAACTGAATCTCTCGTTGGCTTGAACAGTGACTCTTGG